AGGACTGCCAGTAAAAATTGTGGAAAATTGTCTTCAACAGTCAATATTACTAAAAATCTGAACATAATGAGTGACAAAAACCTATCCACAAGTATGGTGATTGCCAGAGGAGGCCGAAAAGGGTAAAGGAGACTTGATTTGGGGTGGTAAACACACAATACAACATAGATGATGTATTACAGAACTGTACCCTTAAAACCTATATAAAACCAGTATCACCCAAGTAAATTCAATAAAAAATAAATAAATACATAAAAATTTAAAAATGTAGCTTTTGACCTGGACAATCATTCAGTACAAGGCTAATGCTACTAGGGAAGGGAAAGACCTAAAAAGAGGGACAAGGAAGGGATAGAGGTGTGTGTAAGTTAATGTTACAAATGTCACTTAAGGAAAAAAAAACATTTAGGAACATAAAATATTTTTAATCTTGCATACATGTGGTTGAAATAATATAGGCTCCGGTGCCACAAATACTTGGTTTGAATCTTAGATTTATTATTTATTATCTTTTTTTACTTTGGCCAGGTTATTAAACTTCTGAGCCTTAGTCTAGTCACCTGAAAAAAGCTTACTCAGAACACTGCTGTTTACCTTACATTTTTTATATATATATGTATGTACACACACACACACACACACACACACACACACATATTACTTCTAAGCACCAAGTACATATAAAAACTTTATTTTTTCTCTCCTAATAATTATTACTGTATTAGGAAACAATCACTACAACTTACCTGCCCAATACAGCTACAGATATACCTAGAACTGTTACAAACATTTATATTCCTTCCATTATGCAAGTAGGTCTCACAATTAAAGTGACATCACCTAATTAGAAAGATTATAGGTGTTACGATTCACACATGGAAATCAAGTCATGGGGGAAGAATTTTTAAAAAGTGAAGTGAATTTGCTGCATGAGCAACAACTAAAAACCTAAGTACTCCCCAAAGATGATTGTGACCCAACAGTTCTTCAGGAAAAAAGAGATTAAAAAGCTCTACATTGTCTAAGATAACAGGAGTGAAATTATAACAGCAGGCCTGTCAACGGAGTCCTAGAAGAGTGGTATGGAAAACAGTCAAGTTATCCATTCAGCAACTCACATATTTTTATCACACTAACCCTAGCGTGCAGAACAGGTTCAGGGATCAGATGATGGTACAGGTTCAAAACCTAGGCTTAACAGTTTTTGGCTGTATGCCCAAATATTTAACCTCAGTTTCTCATCTATAAATGTAAATAATGATAGTTATTACTACATAAGGCCACACTAAACATTCAATGAGTTTATCACGTAAAGGGTTTAGCTTAGTGCAGCGCCAGGATATGTTAAGCACTCAATACATGTGCCCCTTGCCTTCCAGGACACTCTTTCTTGATTTTCCTTCTACCCTGATCCCTCCTCAGTCGCCTAAGCTGCATACACACAGAGCACGACTCCAGGAGTCCTAGCGGAGAACAGGTGCAGGGGCTCAGAGCTAGACAGAGGCTTCAGAGGTCACACAGGCGGGAGTTTGGGCTCACCCAGAGTGGTGATACCTCGGTGAACGCACTTGGCGTTAAGACCCCAGAAAACACATGCCTCGGAACAAAGACAACACCTGAGGAGTGAGAGACAGAAATGACGAATTCTAGAAATAAGTGCGAAAGTGAAATAGACCACCCCTAACAAATCTGAAGTTCAAGTTTTGACAGGCTCAAGGTGATCTACAGTAATTTATTTTTAGAGGAAGCCTCTATAATGTGTCATCCTCATTTTCTAGCATACAATAAGAACTATTAGATATGCAAGGCAGGGGATAGTGACCAATAATCAGGAGATAAAATAGTCAATTAAAAGCAAACAAAAGTGAACAAGGACTTCACAATATCTATAATTGTCAAAGAAAATAGAGAAAAAGATGAACAAGAGAGGTAACATGCAGTATTTTAACAGAATTAAATGCATTTAAAAAGAATGAAATAAATATTTTAAAACTGCAAAATTCAGTATCTGAAATTAAGAATTTATTAGATGGGTTTAAAAGCAGACTGAATACATCAGATATATTACCTAGGAAATGGAATTAATAATAAGTGCAAAGAAAGACCAAGAGAAAACAAAAATTGAAGCACAGGGGGGAAAAAGGCTGGAAAAAGGAAAGCAGAGCATGAGAAATACTTGAGACACAGTCAAAAAGGTCCAACAGTAAATGTAATTGGAGTGCTAGAAAGAGGAGAATTAAAAAAAAAAAAAAAAGGCAGTATTTGAGGAAATAATGGCCAGCAATTTCCCAACCCTGCCTAAGGACATTGACCAAAAGGTTGGAGGAGCTCAGAAAACCTTAGGGAGCATAATTAGAAATCACGGTCAAATGCATGAAAACCAAACATAAATATTTTAAAAGCGTATGATGGTAACTCTTCGGATTTTCCAACTTAATCACTCCCTCCCTTGCTGTTCCTTGAACAACCTGGCTCACTTTAGAGACCTCATAGTGGCTGTTTCCTTGGCCTGGGACACTCTTCCTCAACATGTCTCTCTAGACTCCTTATTTAAAAATCATAGCCTGCTTCCCACCTGCTTGTGCACCTTCCTCTCCACCCCATCCATGCCCTTAGACTTCCAGTCACCCTACCATGCCTTATTTTCTCTTACAGCACTTTTCACTTTCTAATATATAATCTACTTATGTTTACTGCTTATTGTCTGTCTCCATCCACTTAAAGGTTATCTCTAAAAAGATAGGTATCTTTGTTTTATTGATTTGTGTACCACAAGAATCTTGAACAATGTTTTGTACACGTAAGTGCTCAAAGACAATTGTTGAATACTATTACCATTATTATGCCAAGTCTTTTTAGTCACCAAATAACTTGTTCATGCCATGTCCTCCATATAATATCGCTTTCTCTATTTACCTTTAGAGATGCTTTTGACATGTGATACAGGTACTATAGGGCAGTAGTTAAGAAAACACAGACTCTGGAACCAGACAGCATGGATTTGCAAGTAACAGGATCCCCCCCCGCCCCGGCCCACACACACACACATGTGCGCGCAGTATATATAAACATATATACTGCATTTTCTATACACATTTTCTTTCACAGAATATAGGCAAACAACCAAATTGATATTCATTAATTAATTTACATACACACATATACTCATAGTAGCAATAATATCAATTTGTAGTGCTCTTCTAGGTTCTAAGCATTTTTACATATTAATGCATTTAATCCTTCTATCAACCGGATGGAAACCAAGGCACTGGAAGATTAATTTGTATCAAGTCAGAGAGCTACTAAATGACCAAGGCAGGATTTAGGTCCATGCTGGGCTCTTGTACCTAACAAAACAAAAAACAAAACAAAACAAAACAAACCTTTTAGATTAGAAAGGATAATTCCTAAAGTAATAAAAATGAACTAAATAGAATACTTAAACTTAAGTCTGTTAAAAGAACGCAAAACAACCTTTCTTAGTACTAAACAGTGAAATGCAGATATTAGCAGATGTCACTAGGTGATGCTCTTTGTTAAATTTCCTTCTTGGTTATCTGAGGAATTATAATTTTTTCCGGTGGGAAAATCTTATTCTAGAACTAATAATAACTTAGTTGGCTATTTAACTACAAAAGTTACATAGTCCAGAAAGTAAATTTATGCAGCCAGGTAAGCCACACAAACTGGAAAAGAAATGTTCAGTAAGACTGCAAGCTTAGATTAGTGAGACTTTCGCATAATGAACATCATACCTCTCTCCACTTATTTTTATCTTTCTCTGTCTTTGCCTCCATTTTCTGTAATGTCTTGATAAGATTTTATATTTTTGTCAGCAGTTCTTGAGTATATTTAAAATTTACTCTTGTTTAACATGTTTTTGATGCCACTGTAATGTTATCTGTCTTTACTTTTTCATGTTGAAATATTTTAAAGAAAATTGACCCTTAAATATTTAGTATGCATTTCTTAAATAACATTATTAAAACAATTCCTTAGTATCATCTAATATCCAAAAATCAGTCAAAACATAAAAAGGAGCTCACACTTAGTAATTGGAGAAATAAAAATGAATGAGGCAAAGACATACATTGCACACATATCAAATTGACAGAAATTTAGAAGTCTAATACCAAGTGCTGGAAATGATGGAGAAACACTGGAACTCTAACACATTGCTGGAATCCTTCTGGGAACACAAGTTAGCATTATACAGTAATACAAGCCATATAAACCTGACGCCCTGGGCCACTGCTAAATTCATATACACAAAAATGTGTACAAAGAAAAAAGACGTGTTACAAAAACACATGCAACAATGCTAACAGCAGTATTGTTTTTAATAGGAAAAAATTGAGATAAATGTCCCTCAAATAGGGAGTATAAATAAATTGTGGTATGCAAACACAACAGAATAAAACACGAATCAGATGTCAAATGAATGAATCGGGGCTCTTGCAACAACCTGGAACAATCTCACCAATTTCATAATAGTGAAATAAAGAAGAGATACAAAATAACTAAGTCTGTTCAAAACTAATGCCTGACAGTATTTTCAAATGGTTCAACAAATAAAATGTATATCTATTTCCATCTATTCAAATACAAAAAAATAAAAAATAAACAGCAAATTTTTAACATATGAATCTAGGTGGGAGTACACAAAGGTTCATTATATTATCTTGCTACTTTTCTTTAGGTTTAAGATTTTTTTGAAATAAAAAGAGAAAATAAGAGTTCAAAAATTAGATGCAGTTAATTTACATTGTTTAGGAGTAGTTTCTTCATCTGGGCAATAGATGTGAGTTTTCTTTATAACTATTTATTAAACTATACATATATATTATATGCATTTTCTATACGTATACTTCACAAAAGAACAAAGGTAAAAAATATGATAATGTATGTAAAAATATTTTCAAAGAAAAAACTATACTTGCTATACTTATTCAACTTACTAAAAAATAATTATAAAGTAACCAAACATTAAGTAAGGGGGTTTTTGTTATATGGGTCATTTACTTGATATCAATTTATCAAAAGGTACATACTGATGACCAATTTTTGAAGCTAGCAGTAATAATGTCATCTGATTTTTCCATGAGATAGTTATTACATAACTACCAATTCTCAATCTTGTTTACTTTGATATTAGGTAGTATATTCTTCTAAATAATTCCCATGAGCTGAATTTGACACCCCTATACTCATTTTGGCATATGCTACTTAATAATTTATTGTAAGAAAACTCTGAATTAAAGTTTTGTAATTATTCATATCATACACAATTTAGATTGTCCATGTATAAATGTTGCCATTTCTATAGGTTATTCCAAATTCTTCATTAGGATTTCGTTGTTTGGGGTAAAATCCTCAAAGTCAAAAGTTCAGAATTCCATGTTTCCACACTGACTTTTAATATATTAATTTACTTGATTGTCATCTTCTTCTGAGTCATCTAAATCAATATCAAAATCTAAATCACTTTCTTCATTTCTTCTGCAGCTTCTTTTACAGTTGGGACGTGGATTATTTTCAATGCTTTCTGCGTTTTCTGGTTCTTTATTAAACCTAAAGTTGGAAAGAAAATCTCTTTATTTCTCAGGCTTTCACTATTTAACTGTGTAGACTGAAAAAAACTTTACACTACATTTCCTGATTAACAGAAGCCTAATGAAATAAGTATAGAGAAAAAGATCCTTGAAGACTAATTTTCCTCAAGATCCAATGATTTATAATATTGTTAATAAAGTATGCTTAAAGAAATTAATGCATAATGTCCATTAAAGGAAGGCAATTACATAATAAGAACTTTTTTGTAAGGAGTAATAAATATGAACTTCAAGGATATTTAAATTTTCCAAAAATATGAACTTTCACTTTTATTGTAATGATAAATTAAGACTTTTTCCTGAATGGTAGAAAAAGTCTATGTTAGTATGATATACTGCAACTTAAGAACCTAGAGCTACTGAATGCTTCCTTAAATAAAATTCACTTATTAATTATTAAATCAGTAAAACACAAACATAAAAGAAATACTCACGGAATAACAATGTCTTCTTTCTTTCCACATTTTGCACAGACTTCAAGTTCACAGGCACATGGTCTACACATTATGTGATAAGAATCCTTCACGGTCTTTTGTAAACATTTAACACTAAAAATGGAAAATGAAATCAAACATTAATTTGTGTTAATTATGTAAGATTTTATATAATGAGGAAGTGCAGCTAAATGTACAGATAAAAAGCCTAAAACAAAACTCCTAGATCAATCTCAGTTAGAAATTTACCTTATGTAAATTTATATTAATTATGAAGCATTTCTAGATGACAGTTCACAGATGCAAAATAACAATAGAATTTGAGATTTATCTGCTTTCTTAAAGGCTTAAAAATGTCATGTGCACATAGAGACAGTTTTATTTCTTCCTTTCCAATGTGGAGGCCATTTATTTCTTTTCTTTCCTAATACTCCGGCCAGGACTTACAATACTAAGTTCAATAAAAACGGTGAGAGTAGGTATCCTTGTTTTGTTCTGATTTTAGAGAAAAAGCTTCCAGCTTTCCTCTGTTGATTATGATGTTAGCTTTGGGCTTGTCATATATGGTATTTATTACATTGAGGTATTCTCCCTCTATACCCACTTTGTTGAGAATTTTTATCATAATAGATGCTGAATTTTGTCAAATGCTTTTTCTGCATCTATTAAGATGATCATATGATTTTTATCTTTTATTCTATTAATGTGTCATATCACATTTGATGATTTGGAGACGATGAGCTATCGCTGCATCTCTGGAATAAACTGCACGTTGATTATGGTGTATGACCCTTTTAGTGTACAGTTGAATATAGTTTGCTAATATTTTGTTGAGGATTTTTGCATCTATGTTAATCAGAAATATTGGCCTATAAATTTTTTTTCTTTTGGCATCCTTGTCTAGTTTTAGTATCATGATGCAACGTTGTAAAAATGGGTTTGGAAGTGTTCCTTCCTCTTCTACTTTTTGGAGGAGTTGAGAAGGGATGGTGTTAATTCTTCTTTGAATGTTTGGTAGAATTCACCAGTGGAGCTGTCTGATGCTGCACTTTTGTTTGTGGGGAGTTTTCGATTATTGATTCAGTCTTCTTACTAGTGATTCATCTACTCAGATTTTCTATTTCTTAATGATTCAGTCTTGGTTGGTTGTATATTTCTAGGAAGTGAACCATTTATTCTAGGTTGTTAAATTTGTTGGTATACAATTGTTCAAGGTAGTCTCCTGTGATCCTCTGTATCTCTGTGGTATCAGTTGTAATATCTCTTTCACTTCAGATTTTATTTATTTGAGTCCCCTCTTTTTACCTAGCTAAAGGTTTCTCAATTTTGTTTATGTTTTTTAAAGCTTTATTTTTTAAATTTTATTTTCTAATTATTGATTCTAGAGAGAAGGGAGAGAGAAAGAGAGATCAATCCATCCTTCCACCCATCCACGCACCCATCAGTTGACCCCTGCACCTGACTGGGGACCAAACCCACAACTCCCGCACATCAGGACGATGCTCCAAACAATGGAGCCACCTGGCCAGGTTGAATTTTATGTTTTTAAGTAACTAGCTCTTATTAATGTTTGCTATTGTCTTTTTAGTTTCTATTTCATTTATTTCCGCTCTGATCTATGTTAATTCCTTCTTTCTATTAACCTCAAACTTTGTTCTTCTTTCTATAGTTCTTGAGGTGTAAAGTTAGGTTGTTTATTATTTTTCTTGTTTCTTGATATAAGCAGTTATTGCTGTGAACTTCTCTTTTTAGAATAGTTTTTATTGTGTTCCATAAGTTTTGGTATGGTGTATTTCCATTTTCATTTGTCCCAGTGTTTTTTTTTCCCCTCTCAATTTCTTCTTTGACCTACTGGTTGTTCAGTAGCATGTTGCTTATTCTCTGCAAATTAGTGAATTCTCCAGTTTTCTTCTTGTAATTGATTTCTAGTTTCATACCACTGCGGTTGCAAAAGATGCTTGTATGATATTTATCTTCTTAAATTTTTACCACTTGTTCTGAGGCCTAACATGACTTACCCTGGACAGTATTCCATGTACACTTGAGAATATATATTCTGTTGCTTTAGGACAGAATGTTCTGTATCTATCTACATAATATTGTTCAAATGCCCATACTACAATACCTAAAGCAAAGTATAGACACACTGCAATCCCTACCAAAATACTGATGGCATTTTTCTCAGAAATAAAACAATCCTAAAATTTGTATGCAACCACAAAAGACCCCACATAGACAAAGCAACATTGAGGAAAGAGGAACAAAGTTGGGGACACATTGCTCCCTGATTTCAAACTCTATTACAAAGCTATAGTAATCAAAATAGTACAATACTGGCATAAAAACAGACATATAGGTCAATGAAACAGAATAGAGAACCCAGAAATAAACCCTCACATACATGGTCACTTAATTTACGATAAAGCCAAAAATATAAAAACAGTCTCTTCAATAAATACTGGGAAAACCAGACAGCTACATGTAAAGGAAAGAAACTGGACCACAACTGTAACAATACACAAAAATTAACTAAAAATGGACTAACACCTTGAATGCAAAACCCAAAACCATAAAACTCCTAAAAGAAAACATAAGCTGTAAGCTCCTTAAAATCAGTCTCAGTGATTTGTTTTAGAATTTGACACTAAAAGTAAAGGCAAAAAACAAACAAACAAACAAACAAGCGGGATTGCATTAAACTAAAAAGCTCTGCACAGAAAAGGAAATCATCAACAAAATAATGAGAAAAAATATTTGCAAAACATATACTTGTAAGGGGTTAATATCATAAATATATAAAGGGCTCTAAAAATAGCAAAAATTATGAGATTAAAAATTGGGAAGAGGATCTGAATAGACATTTTTCCAAATAGATAAACCAATGGTCAACAGGTATATGAAAAGTTGCTTAATGTCACTAATGCTCAGGGAAATGCAAATCAAAACCACAATTAGAAATTCCTTCAAAAACTATTATAAAAAAGATTAGAAATAACAAGTGTTGGTAAGGATATAAGGAAAAGGGAACCCCTGAGCACTATTGGTGGGAATGTAAATTGGTATAGCATACTGAAAAACAGTATGGAGGTTCCTCAAAAAATTAAAAAATATAACCACCATATTATCCAGCAATCCACTTCTGGGTATTTATCTGAAGAAAATGAAAACACAAGCTCAGAAAAATATATAAACCCCCATGTTTATTGCAGCATTATTTATAAAAGCCAAGAAATGGAAAAAACCTAAATGTCCACTGATGGGTAAAGAAAATAGGGTATATATGTATAACCGAATATTAGCCTTCCATAAAAATTAAAGAAATCTTGCCATTTGTGAAAACATCTATGGACCACAATGGCATTATGGTAAGTGAAATAAGTCAGAGAAAAGACAAATACTGTATGATTTCATTTATATGTGGAATCTAAGAATAAAAAACAAAAAACCTAGCTCATGGATACAGAGAGCAGACTGATGGTTGCCATAGGCAAGAGGTGAAATATCAATGAAATAGATGAATGGGATAAAAAGGTACAATCTTCCAGTTATTAAATAAATAAGTCATGAGAATGTAATGTATAGCACAGAGACTATAGTTAATAATGCTATATTGCATATTTGAAAGTTGTCAGAGAGTAAATCTTAAAAGTTCTTGTAACCTAGAAAAAAAACTTTGTAACCACGTGTATTGACGGATGTTGAATGGACATACTGTGATAATCATTTCACAATGTGTACATATATCAAATAATTACATTGTACATCTGAAACTAATATTTCATGTCAATTATACCTCAATATGAAAAACTTAAAACTTCTGTGCATCTAAGGACATTATCAAGAATTTAAAAATATCCCAATGAACCTGTGCAGATGTTTGCAAATCATATCTGATAAGGAACTCGTATTGAGAATATATAAAGAACTAATAACTCAGTGATAAAGACAAATAACTCAATTAAAAATAAACAAAACATCTGAATAGACATTCCCCCCCCCCCCCCCCAAAAAAAAGGCCAGTAAATAAATGACAATTTGTTCAACATCAACAACCATTAAGGAAATGCAAATCAAAGTCAGGAGGAGATACCACTCATACCCACTAAGACGACTATTATCAAAAACAAGGGCAATAACAAGTGCTGATAAGGATGTGGAGAAATTGGAATCCCTGTATTGTTGGTGGAAAGCAAGATATGGTCACTTTATAAAATACCGCTTCTTCCTTTTAAAAAAAAATGTTTTTTTTTTAAAAATTAATTTTTTTAGAGATGGGGGAGGGAGAAAGAAATATCAATATGCTCAAAAACCACCAAAAGGCTGCCTTTTGCACACCCCCAACAGAAGACCTGGCCCACAACCCAGGCATGTGTCCTGACCAGGAACAGAACCGGCAGCCTTTCTATTTGCAGAATGACACCCAACCCACTGAACCACACCAGTCAGGGCAGTCTGATCACTTTTGAATAGTTTGACAGTTCCTCAAAAGGTTAAATATAGATAACCCAGGACCTCCACTTTTAAAATATATTCAAGAGACCTGAAAATGTAGTATATGCAAACAAAAACTTGTACATGAAATGTTCATAACAGCATTCATTATCTGGAATAGCCAAAAACGTGGAAACAATCCAAATGCCCATCAATTGATGAATGAATATGTAAGATGTACAACTTACACAATAGAATATTATTTAGTGATACAAAAGAATTAAGTACAGATAAATGTTACAGTATGCTTGAAAAAAATTATTCTAAGGGAAATAAGCCAGTCACAAAGAGTATATATGATATGATTGTTTATATGAAATATCCAAAATCAGTAAACCTACAGAGACAAAAAGCAATGGGGGGGGGAGTTGTTTCGGGGAAAATGGAAAATGACTGCTATGAGTATGGGTTTCTTTCTGAGATTCGAAAGTTTCAAAATTGATTGCTGCACAATTCTGTGATGTACTAAAAGCCACTGAACTGTGCACTTCGGATAGATGAACTGTATAGTATGTGAATTAAATCTTAATCAAACTTTTTAAAAAGTCAAATGGAAATGTTAGAAATACGAAAAACAAAGTGAAAGATAAAAGACATAAGAAACCACTTTAAATATAAATATA